ACTAGTAGATTTCAGTGGACCATCCAGAAAAAGATAGGCTAGACAGAAAGGCCTGGCAATCTACTTCCAAAACTCAACCAATAGAAACCCTTTTTTTTTCTATAATTATATTTTATTAATTTTCATAAACATTTACAGAGATTTTGGACTTCCATTCATTCATTGTTGCACTATTCTCTCTACCCTCCTCCCAGTTTGTTCTTGTCCAAATGCCACAGTGCAATAGAAACCCTTTGGATCACAACAATTTGATCTGCAACTGATCACAGGGCTGATACAGGGCCAGGTGGTTTTCCACCCCATTGTGCATGAGGTCCCTGTGGTTCAGGGACAAATTTAACTGCTGGGATTTTAGGGAAAATTCTTCAGAGGATGCCAGGACTCCAGCCTTGGAAATGGGCAGGCCCTGCTGCTGACAGGGGCAAGATAGATACACAATGGAAGGACACTGGGCCAAGGACTAGGGAAGGACATAAAAGCTGTGTCTGTTCTGTGGAAAGAAGCTGGTTTTTCAATTATTGGGGCAGCTATTGCTGCCAGTTTAGGGCCTGTGTAAGGAAAAGGAAGTCTTACTCATATACAGTGCCACCCAAAGGTAATAAAGGAGGTCAGAATTGCTTCCACTGTGGAAAGCTGGGCCACTTCAGTAGACAGTGTCACAGACGAGAGCCACAGATAGGCAAGGGGGTAGATAGGAAGTTCCCACTCACTTGCTTTAAGTGTGGCTCTGAAGGACACTTGGCCAAGGTGGCCCACATCAGGCCCTCGTGCCAGACAGGACTGACAGGCCCCAGCTCCCAGCTAGAAACAAAGGAGGACACTTCAACGATTTAGATCCTCCCAGGAGAGCTGTGGGTGAGTATTAACATTACTGGTAAGTATATTCATTTTCTCCTGGACACAGAGCCTACTAATTGGTCCTAAAAGCCTTCTGAGGTGCCAACTCTTCTCACTATCTCTTAGTTGTTGGAATGGACGGAAAACCTCATAAGCAGTTCCTTACTTCACCTCTACCTTGCATGTGAACTTCCGAGTTGTAAAACAGCCCAGTGGTAGATGGAATTTCCTCCAGGACTTAAGAAGCATAAATGACATAGCTGAGCCTCTACATCTTGTGGTTCCTAACCTGTACACTATAATAGACAAAGTGCTAGTCTATAGGCCTTTTATTGTAAGAACCACCTTCCCTCTGTAACTTGATTTGTGCCACTACTAGAACCTCTACTCGGAATATTATTGCTTGTTAATTTTTGACTCATGTACTTTAAACTTGTTAAATTTGTGTCTTCTAGGTTGCAACACCTCCATGACACATCTTCAAGGATATGAACATGTACGGCTAAGCACAATTAATAACAGTGCATCTAAATTCCAAAATCAATCTCCATAATAGTCTATGTGTTTCCTACTGCCAAAGGGGCCCTTTAGAGTAGTGAGAGAAGATCTTCACCCTGAAACCCACAACGTCCCTTTTCAGCAGTAAGTAGGTAAGAGAATACGCCATCCCCTTTTCCTTATGACTCAGGGTGAAGTCTCTCTCAGGGAGGAGTGGTCGGGAATGGCAAAGGGCACACTGACAAAGGAGATTAATCAGAACTGGCTTTGACAAGCACTGTGGCAACTGGACAATTAAAACAGACATTTGGGAGGGGGAGAAGAAAGAACTGGGGAGAAGGGTAGAGAAAACAGTGCAACAATGAATGAATGAGAACCCAAAATCTCTGTAAATGTTCATTAAAATTAATAACATTTAATAATAATTAAAAGAAAGAACAAATAGAAAAAAAATCTAAGCAAAAAAAAAAAAGACACCATAGGAATGATTATATGCAATACAATGTGAATGAAGGATAGTGTGAAAAATAATGTATACAAATTTGCAAACCAACATAAAATAAAAATAAAAAAATTTAATCTTCAAGTTGCAATAATGAAAAAAAAAAGAAGCTGGTTTTTCTGCTCCTAGGAGTGTGTGACTGACAGTTGAATGGATGGGAGTGGTGGATCTCTGAGAGGTGACGAGAGTCTTGGATCACGGCCTCCCAATTGCCTGCACTATAGATTCCTATGTCTTTGCCTCTCACTCTTCATGGGCCCCCCTGCAGTCCTCTCTTCTCTATTTATTACCAGATGTCTTGGCAGCATTTCCCAGGAGCCTACAGCTGTGCTTGGGCTGATCAGCATGTGCATGGGAAATGCATGATACCCTGTGGCGGGACAGTGGTGGGCGCTCCTCAGAAACAACCAGAGAACTCAAATGAAGGCTCTTATGGTGGGTTGAGGTCTTCTTGCTCCTGCGACTCCCTCCCATGGCTACGCCCCTCACAGTGATGTGGTGGATAAAAATACAGAATGGCCACCCTATCTAATAGTCGGTAACCTATTGACAGAGGAAGCTACAGTTCCTATATGGCCCCAGTTTATAAATAAATGAACATTCATTAATGTTAAATTAAATTAGAATGAAATTTTCCCATCCAGTTTTGTTTAGAAGGCAGAAATAAGTGGGTTGGCTGGGTAATTCTGCTGCGGATGCTGGAGCATGTAGTCACAAGGTGATAATAATAATAGTAATTTGCTCTTTGCTGGTGCCTCCGTCCCCAGCTCTCCAGGCAGATATTACCACCTTGCTTTTGCAAAGGCTCATTGAGGTTAAAGGGCTGGTTGAAAGTTACTCAGCAAGGGGTTGAGTGCAGAGCCCTTAAAATCCTCTGGTCCATTAGACTTAGAGCTCATCCACAGGCAAAAAACAGACTGAGATGCCAGAGACCTGGATTCCAGCCCTGGCCCTGCCTCAGACTGAGGGTGTGACTCTCGGGTTTTCTCACCTACAGTGGGATGACTGAAGCTAATCTTCTGATTGGTGAGTCTCACAAATATTTCATAACATTTAAAGGAGCCCTGTGGCACAAGTGTAAAAATGCTTAGCTGCTAGTCTAAACCACCTGGTTGACCCGTCAGGAAAAACATTTGCCAATCTGCTTCTGTAAAGACTGTTGTTTATTAGGTAATGTCGAGTTGAAACTAGCTCATCACTGATCCTCCAGCAGGTTTTCAGAGGCAAAAGAGTAGATTACCAGTTTTTCTCCCTCGGAGCAGCTGGTAGATTTGAACCCTGTGCAACAAAACTCCTTACCACAAAGCCACCAGATCATAGCCAAGGAAACTGTGTGGGGCAGTTCCAATCTGACATGGGATCACCATGGCCAGAATCGGTTTGACATACCCAACAAAAACAATTTATATGTAATATAATAATACTGGAGTGGTGCAGCCACTATGGAAGGCAGTGTGGCACTTTCTCAAAAAGTTGCAAATAGAAACACCATTTTTCTCAGTAATTCCACTACTGGGAATTTACCCTAAAGAAACCATAACCGCTACCCAAGCAGATATATGCATACCCATGTTTATTGAAGCTTTGTTCACAATAGCAAAGAGCTGGAAACAACCCAAGTGCCCATCAACAAACGAATGGATAGAGAAACTGTGGTATACTCACACAATGGAATACTATGCTGCACTGAAAAACACGGAACTCATGAAATATTATGTAAAATGGATGACCCTGGAGGACGTTATGCTGAGTGAAATATCTCGAAATATCACAAAAGGACAAATATTGCATAGGACCACTGTTGTAAAATGGGATTGACATCAGGGTTGAGGGAAGACAGAAAAGGAGGGGAGGAATGATGTATATTTCACTGAAATAGATGAAATAGATGTTAAAAAGGGATATATAAATGGGTATTCTTGTCTTTACAGAAGTCCCTAGTGAAGGCTATATAGTGGAGTGGACTTGGGGGGAGGGATCGCATAACAATGAAAGAGTTTCTCTTTTTCTTTTCAAGGAGAAGAGTGAATTGGGGGTGAAGGGATGGGCAGGGAGAAAAGTGTAACAATGAATGGAAACCCTAAGTTTCTGTACACTTTCATTAAAATTAATTAAAAAAATAATACTGGAGGCTGAACTTACAAAAGGTGCCCATTTTACTAATGTATGCACTGTTGCATGCCAACTCCCTCTGACCTTTATTTCCGCATACCCATACCCCATCCCCCCAACTGAGACTTGTCCTTTGGAATGGAAAAAATTAAATGAGAAAGTCCTTTAGGTGTGTTTCACACTTTATTTGCTGCAGGGAGATAGGACTCGGGAGGGTGTTTTCCATCCCCTTCCAGCAATGGGCTGTGAGGACTTCTGGGGTCTCACTTGGGCAGGGGCTTCAGGATCAGGCCACCTTCTTCCTGGTGCAGGGTTCCTCATTCAGCTGCTGGGGAAGAATAGCAAAGAAGCTTTGCAGATCAGTCGTGTCAGCATGTCCACTTATGAAACCACCTCCTAAAATCTGCCTGCAGATTCGTGGAAGGAGGGGTACTAGGCCAGGCTGTGGAGTGAGGGAGTCTTTTCCATAAGGCTTCTGGAAGCTTTACCTCTGGCTTTCTGTGTAGCCTGGGGCAAGTCATTTAACCTCCCACTTCTCCATCTCTAACAACATCCCCTCCATGTCTCTCTCCTCTCCTCCAGGGAACCATGAGAAGTAATTAGTGGCTGTTTGTCAGAGGAGATCTAGCTTTGCACAAGTAACTCGGGCAGACCTTGAACGAGGCAAGGCCGGCCAGGGCTTGGGTTTGGTTTGCAGGATGGGATGGAAAAGCGCAGGCTTTAGACTGCAGCCAGGGCAGCCACCCAGCCGTGGTGGCTCTCAGGGGAGGGAATGGAAATAGCAGGAGCCAAGGTGGGGGTAGCTGATTCGTCATTGGTCCTCTGCCAGGGAGCCATTTGGGAATGACGCCCGAGCCACTGAGGCAGCAGCTTCTGGACTGCCTGTTGCTGGAGAACTGGGCCTTGCAGCTATCAGGGCCCGGCACACTCTGTGATTAGGCTCCCCTAGGAGATGGGGGTATGTGCCCCCAGGAGAGAAGACCATGTTCTCAAGTGCAGAGCAGAAACACAAATCATGGTCTCCAAGCCCTGCTCAGATGAGGGGCTCCTGTCATGTCCACACCAGGGTGGACGGAGGACACACCACCCCCATACCATTCGCAGTGGACATCAACACCTCGCTCAGCAGCCCTTCCAGGGCGGCCCGGTACTTTTCCAACTGCCTGGAGTTCATCCTCATTCCAATTTCCACAGGAGCAGTCAGCTGTGAAATAAGGTAGCGTTAACAAGAGGGGAGAGACACTGAGAGCGCCATTAACCCCTGGGTGCCCTACAGGTGGCAGGAGGGGCCCCGCCAGGAGCCACACTATCTTGCTAGCATTGTTTTTCCTATACCTCTAGGCCCCTGGAGGGGTGGGCTCCCCCTGTGTGCCAGAGAGTCCTGTTTTACATATATCAAACCTCTCAATGACTCTCTAGCTTGTTGTTGAGTTGCTTGTGACTCATAGCGACTCTAGGTACAACAGCTCTGAACCCTCCGCTATCTGGAGCCAGCCTTATTGTCTCTGACACCCCCACCCCCATTACCCCAGTCACTAAGTGAATCTATCTCATCGAGGGTCTTCCTCTTTTGTGCTATCCCTCCACCCTTCCAAGTATGATGTCCCTTTCCAAGAACTGGTCCCTCCTGGCTACATGCACAAGGTATGTCAGATGAAGATTCAGAATCTTTGCCTCTAAGGAGCAGCTTGGTTTCACCCTCTCTAGGATGAAACAATTCTAGCAGTCCATGGTATTCTTCAGCACTGCAACTCAAAGGCATCACTTCTCCTTCTATCATCCATAGTCATTGTCCAACTCTCTGGTGCACAGCAAGTAATTGTGAAGACTGTGGGATGGATCAGGTGCACCTAAGCCTTTAGACTGTCATTGTTGCTCTTCAGTACTTTGAAGAGATCTCTGACAGCAGACTTTGCCAATGCAATTAGTCTTTTGATTTCCTGGATGCTGGTACTAAGAGTGTTAATTGTGGAACCAAGCAAACTGTTAACAATCACAGTCTCTTCACCATCTATCATGATGCTGCCAACTGGCCCAGTGGTGAGAATCTTTGTTTTCTTGGTGTTGAGCTTCAATCCATGCTGAAGGCTGCAATCCTTGACCTTTAGCAAATACCTCAAGTTCTCTTCCGTTTTGGCAAGCAAGGTTGTGTCATCTGCATAATATAGGTTGTTGATGAATCTTCCCAATCTCCGTAATGCCATATCAGTCAATCTTGATGCCACAATTAATGTCCCCCTTTTGCAGATGGTGAAACCAAGGTACAAAGACATCAAGTATCTTACTCAAATACATTTAGGTAGTAAGTAGAAGGGGGAGTAGCTGTTAAATCCAGATGACTTGTCCCCAGTGTCTGTGTCATACAGGCATCTTAGGCATCTCTGATGGTCTTCTGAGGGGGAACGCTGGGATCCCAGTGAGGCTGTCTCGAAGCTCTACTACACCGAAGAAGGTAGCTGTGGCTTCAAGACAGAGGCAGGCAGGCTGGTGCCCTGTCACTCCTAAAGTCTCCTGGTTCAACTCCACAGAACAACTAGCTGACAGTGACAGAGGAATCCCAGCATTCGCTCCTCCACCTGTCACCCACTCTCTGCTTGTGGGAAATGGTCTTGGGCCTGCATTCCAGAGCTTCAGGGGCTCGGGATGCCTGAAGGGCAGCTTCAGAGGGATTCCATGGGATCCTGAGCCAGATGTCGAGGCAGGCTAAAGGCCTGGTTATGCCATGCCCTTGCTGTGGCAATACCTCGGACCTCATACCTAGACCCATGAACTTAGAAGAGAGTCATCCAGTGAAGCCTCTTAATATTAAAGTGAGGAAACTAAGTGTCCGGGAGAAGGATGCTACATCAGATGTCACATGTGCTTTTGTCTCAGGTACATCTAGAGGGCAGTTCTGAGTGCGCACCCCCCTTGCCAACTGTGTGACTCACTCCCTCGTGAGTCCTGGGAGGTCTTGGTGGATGCTGAGGAAGCAAAGGAGCTTATCGACACATTACTGACAGCCTTCCTCTGGGTCTCATGCCTGAGCATTGACCTTACTATGTTCATAGACAGCATGTAGTGGCCACCTAGAGAGGGTAGGGGTAAGATTCACGGTCTGGTGTACCGTGGGAGGCAGGAGGTGTGGATAACAGGCTCAGTTCTGCTCTGACTGCTGTGTGACCTTGGATGAGGCCCTGGCCCTCTCTGATGTCTGTCTTCTCATCCCTTCCTTTGACACAAAAATGCCCACTCTCAGTCCTTGGGCTTCTCCTTTTCTCTATCACACCCACTCCCTTGGGGATCTCACACAGTCCTGGCTTTAAAGTCTAATCACTTTATGTCCCCGGTCTGAAGCTCTCCTCTGAACTCCAGACTTGTGTATCTGTCTGCTTGTGCAATGCTCCATGTGTGTGCCCAGCAAGCATCTCACAGTCCATGGGTCCAGTCGGACCTCCTGATCCTTTCCCCTTACCTGTTCCCACCACAGTTTTCACTGTTTCAGTTACAGTGAAGGGGGAAAAAAAAATCTGTCCTTGCGGGTATTCTAGCCAAAATCCTTGAAGTCATTTTTTACTTTTCTCTCTCTCTTTATGCCCACTCTTTCAGCAAATCCTGCAGGCTTTTATCTACAAAAGAGTTTCAGAATCTGACCACGTTGCCCACCTGCAACATGATCACCCCAGGCTGAGCCACTGTCTCCTGTCTTATATAATGCAGCAGCCTCCTCATTGGTCTCCATCCCTAATTCTGCCTTTGTCTTTTCAATGTATTCTCCAACCAGCAGCTGGGGGAGATGCTTTTAAAATGTCAGTCAGATTATGTCCCTCCTCTCAAGTCCCCAAAGGCTTCCACCTCAGAAGAGAGAACACAAAGTTCTTAAAATGGCCCGTGTATGAACTTCATAGTCTGGGCTCTATCTCTCCTCTCTCCCTCTGCTCCTCCAACTCTGGTCCCTCACTGTTGCTGAATACACCAAGCCCTTTCTGCCTCAGAGCCTTTGCACTGCCTGTTACTTCTGCCTGGGGCAGTCTTCCTCAGACATCCATATGGTTCACTTTCTTTAATTTTTGGAGTTTTTTTAAGTAAATACTATTTTCTTCTGATACTGCTATTGATCTGCTCTGATCCTCCTATTTGCATTTCCAATGAGTCCCACCCCCTTTCCTGCTTTGTTTTCTTCCACAGCACTGATCATAAATACAGAGTTTGCTGATTTACATGATTTCAGATCTTCCTTCCTCACCAGAGTGATTTGTCTGTTTTGGTCACTGCTCTACCCCAATGCCTTGCACATGGTAAGTAGCTGCCGTCAAGTCAAGTGAGACTCATGACAAGCCTATGTGTGTCCGAGTAGCGCTATACTCTTTAGGATTTTTCAAAGACAGATATTTTTTGGAGGAAGTGGATCATCAGGCCTTTCTTCTGAGGTTGCCTTGTCTGAGCTCAGACTTCCAACCTTAGATTTAGCAGCTGAGCATGTTAATGGTTTGACTCCTTTGCATATTTTTGTTGTGCAAGGTGTAGTGAGAACTGATCCCATAGCTGACTCTCCGGTGGGTTTTGAGAGTCAGTAGATCACATGGGAGGAGATTGCCCATCTTTCTCCCATGGAGCAGCTGGTGGATTTGAACCACATGCCTTTGGGATTGCAGCACAACTGCTTCCCTCTAGGCTACCAGAGCTCCCTGTTGTTGTTGTTGTTGTTAGGTGCCATTTAGTCAAAATGACCTTCCAGTGGGATTTCAGAGGCAGTACATCAAACAGGAGGTGATTACCCATCCTTATTCCACAGAGCAGCTGTTGGATTCAAACTGCCTGCCTTTGGGATTGCAGCTTCTTACCACGAGGCCACCAGAGCTCCCTAGGGCTCTATAAATATTCATTGTGTGAATAAATGAGCCTGAAATGAAAGGCTGGATTGGATGACTTCAGCTGACTGCTGGGCCCCCACTGGTGCTGCCTGAGATCTTTCTAGGTCAGATCTGTTGCCAGATGTCTTGCCCTGCTTGAACTGGGTTGCTGACGTCCTCTCACCCGCTCTTAGCACACACACAAGGACTTCAGCCCCGTAGGTGCATCCTAGCAGTGCCTTTGCACTCACCCTTCCTTCCTCCTTACAGCACTTGCATCAGAGGTAACTTCTCACCATCAAGTTTAAAATAAAACATCATCTCCTCCAAGAGGTCTGCTCTCACCCCTCCCTGGGCAAAGCAGTGCTATCCACTGTCTTATTGCCTCAGTTCCATTCTACAAAGATCTACTTGTCTCCTCTTTGGTGCTCATTTCCTCCTTCCAGAATAGAGCTTGTTTTCTAAATGTCTTAGTCACTGATGCACCCCAGGACATTTCTTGGGTGCTCTTGGCAGGCCCTGCCTCTTTGTAGGATGTTGTTGTTATGTGCCATCGAGTTGGAAATGTTTCATTAGCTGACTTTCTGGCGGGTTTTCAGAGCCTATAAATTTTATTGGAGAAGATGGGCCATATTTCTCCTAGGGAGCAGTCGGTGGATTAGAACAACATGCCTTTGGGTTGGTAGCACAACTCCTTTCCCACAAGGCCACCGTCTTTGCTAGATGGTGGGGCCAACTTTTCACTGAGTTTCTTTGCACTGTTCTCCTTGGGTGGCTGCTCACCTTTATAATTCCGATTTCTTCTTCCTCTGTGGACTCCAAGGGCTCCAGAGACCCTGCCTCATCAGACCTCTGTTGCACACTCAGGGATTTCTTCTGTCCTCTGTTCCGCTCCTTTTCCTAAGGAACAGCATCAAACAAACAATAAGCCCACAATGAAAAGAAACCTATCGCTGTCAAGTCAACTCCAATTCGTGCCAACCCCATAAGTGTTTCTTGGTTAAAACATTTACAAAACAGATTGTAAGAATTTCCATTTTGTGGCCCTCTTGGTGAGTTCAAATAACTAATCTATTATTATTTTAAAATTTATTATTAATTTCAATGAAAATTTACAGAGGCTTTCGATTTCCATTCATTCATTGTTGTACTTTTCTTCCCTCCCAACCCTTCCTCCAGTACATTACCCTCTTGGAAAAGTAAAACAAAAATTCTTTCATTGCTTTACAATCCCTCCCCCCAGGTCCAGTCTTCGCTCTTGACTCCTGTCATGACAAAAATTCGTAATCACATATCTCTTTTAAACAGTTTTATCCCTCATATGTTTCAATGCAGTATATATTATTGAACCCATCTTTCTCAGTCTCCCCCCAACCCTGATGTCAGTCCTGTTTTACAAGAGTGGCACCATGCAGTATTTGTCCTTTTATGACTGAAATACTTCACTCAACATAATGTCCTCTAGGGTCACCCATTTTGAATAATATTTCATGAGTTCCTTGTTTTTCAATGCAGCATAGTATTCCATTGTGTGAATATACCACAGCTTCTCTATCCATTCGTTTGTTGATGGGCACTTAGGTTGTTTCCAACTCCTTGCTATTGTGAACAAAGCTGTGATAAACTGGGTGTGCATATATCTGCTTGGGTGGGTGTCAGTTATGATCTCTTTGGGGTATATTCCCAGTAGTGGAATTGCTGGGTCAAATGGTATCTATATGTGCAACTTTTTGAGAAAGCGCCATACCACCTTCCACAGCGGTTGCACCATTTTACACTTCCACCAATGGTGAATAAGGGTTCCAGTTTCTCCACAACCTCGCCAGCATTTATTGCTTGCTGTTCTGTTAATTTTTGCTATTCTGACTAAGGTGAGATGATACCTCAGAGTTGTTCTAACCTATTATTTTTATAGATTTATTTTTTTAAAAATTTTATATTGGTCAAACAAATTACTAACATTTAGCTCAAACTCATTGCTATTGAGCTGAGAGCTGGATTGGACTGATAACTGACCCTCTCAACTGACCCTCTCATTTGGGTTTTCAGAGACTATAACTGGCTCGGGAGAGGGCAGGGTTCAGAGCTGTTGTACACAGGGTCACTATGAGTCACAGGCGACTAGATGGCACATAACAATAACAGCAACAAAGCATGTGGGAGGAGATTGCCCATCTTTATCCCATTGGTGCATTTGAACTGCTAGAGAGGTGCTGTCTTTAGGTTGGTGGGGCAACTTCCTTCCAACTACGGTATCAGAATTCCCTAACTTTTTATTTAGTCTCCCTCAAAAACTCCCTCTCACCAATGTAACTGCATAAAACTAGTGCACTTGCCCAGTTGGCCCTGGTTCATCTCCACCAGGCATGCTAACTGGTCTGAGCATCCCACAGACCACTGAAAACTTCCTTTTCCCCAAGTACATTTTCTGTGGTGACACTAAGACTCCTGCTGGCTGAGGACTAGCTCTGGGTGTTGGCTACCAAATCGTCAACCTGAAGAAGAACCATTCTTTTGTAGTTAAAACATTGCATGCAGATTGTTACTGTTAATTAAGTTAAAACGCTGAAAATAATGGCTGCCTTTCATGCATATAAAGTATGAAAATGTGTTTTTCTTAGCAGAGAGCCTATAAAAAAAAGGTGGCAAGACAGCATAGCCTGTGAGGGCGCCGTGGGGTGGCCCGGGAACTCAGAGTTCCTGGGAGGTGATTTATAAGAGGCAAGACAGGGAGATGAATTATGGAGGAAAGAGTTTGCAGCTTCTTCATAATAATGCCAGCGCCTGGCAATTACAAGAGAAAAAGCCATGGAGCAGATTAATGCAAAGTGCCCTTTGGTTGCCATTTTGAGCGTTTTTGTTCTACAGAGTTTGACTCTTGCTATGCAGCGTTACAGTCTGCCTGGCACCCTGGTGCTGGGTCTCCTGTGATCAGACACCCGTCTTTTGGAGCTGGAGTCAGAAAATCAAAAGGGCTGAACTCGCTCAACATTTCTTAAGCTGAAGGAATTGAAGAACAAATTCAAGCCTCCAGTTGCAATGCTTAAGGATGCTATGGGCAGAATATTGAATGATCCAGGAAGCATTAAAAGAAGATGGGAAAAGTATAGAGTCAAACAATCAATGTAATTCATCACATTAATAAAGCAAAGAACAAGAACCACATGATCCTATCAATTGATGCAGAAAAGGCCTTTGACAAAATCCAACACCCTTTCCTGATTAAAACACTCAAGAAAATAGGATTAGAGGGGAATTTCTTCAACATAGTAAAAAGTATATATGCAAACCTGAGAGCCAACATTGTTCTCAATAGAGAGAGATTAAAGGCATTCCTTTTGAGAACAGGAACTAGGCAAGGATGCCCATTATCACCTCCTCTATTCAATATTGTATTGGAAGGTTTAGCAATAGCAATAAGACAAGAGAAGGAAATAAGAGGTATCTAAATTAGCAAAGAGGAGGTAAAATTATCTCTTTATGCAGATGACATGATAGTATACTTAGAAAACCCTAAAGATTCAGCAAAAAACCATACTGGACATAGTTGACCAATTCGGCAAAGTGGCAGGATACAAAGATCAACATACAAATATCAGCTGGGTTTCTCTACAGTGACAAAGGGAATACAGAGCTGGAGCTAAGAAAAACAATACCCGTCACAATGGTTATCACAGGATTAAATACTTGGGAGTAAATGTAACCAGAAGCACAAAGGATCTATTCAAAGGAAATTAAAAAACATTATTACAAGAAACAAAAAGAGACCTGGAGAAATGGAAGAATATACCTTGCTCATAAATAGGAAGACTCAATATTGTGAAATTGACAACCCTACCAAAGGCAGTTTACATATTCAATGCAATCCAATACACATACCAATTCCATTCTTCAATGAGATGGGAAAGGCAATCTCCAATTTTATTTGGATTGGAAAAAGACCCTGACTAAGCGAAGAACTTCTTAAAAAGAGAAACAAGGTAGGAGGTATCTCACTCCCTGATTTCAAATCCTAGTACACTGCCGTGGTGGTCAAGACAGTGTGATACTGGTACAATGACAGACACTTAGATCAATGGAGTAGAATCGAGAACCCGGAAATCAGCCCATCTACTCATAGTCAACTGATTTTTGACAAGGAAATGAAATCAGTTAAGGGAGGAAATGATAGCCTTTTTAACAAATGGTATTGGCAAAATAGGAAAACTATCTGTTGAAAACTTAAGCAAGATCCACACGTCACTCCGTACACAAAAACCAACTCAGAGTGGATCAAGGACCTAGGACTAAAACCAAGGACTATAAACTTCATTAGAGAAAAGCTTGGAAGAACTCTAGAAGCCCTAATCCACAATATAAACAGCCTTCCAAGCATCCTGAAAAACCTACAACCAGGAGTGTGTAAAATAGAAGAATGAGACCTTTTAAGAATCAAATCCCTACGCACATCCAAAAACTTCTCCAACAGGGTAAAAAGGGAAGCCACAGACTGGGAAAAAAATATTTGGTAATGACATGTATGATAAGGGACTTATATCTAGAATTTATAAAATACTGGAGCACCACAAGATAAAGGTAAACAACCCAATTGAAAAGTGGGCACAGGATATGAACAGAAGCTTCACCAAAGAAGGCATTAAGATGGCGAGCAAACACTTGAAGAAATGTTCAAAATCCCTAGCTCTAAGAGAGAGGCAAATCAAAACAACTATGAGATATTATCTCACCCCAGTAAGAATAGCAAAATTTATAACAGAACAGCAAACAACAAATGCTGGCGAGGTTGCAGAGAAACTGGAACCCTTATTCACTGTTGATGGGAGTGTAAAATGGTGCAATCCCTACGGAAGGCAGTGTGGCGCTTTCTCAGAAAGTTGGAAATAGAAATACCATTTGATCCAGCAATTCCACTATTGGGAATATACCCTAAGGAAATCAGAACTGCCGCCCAAGCAGATATATGCTCACCTATATTTATTACGGCTTTGTTCACAATAGCAAAGAGTTAGAAGCAACCCAAATACCCATCAGCAAACGAACGGATGGAGAAGTTATGGTATATTCACACGGTGGAGTACTATGCTGCATTGAAAAACAAGGAACTCATGAATATTATACAAAATGGGTGACTGTGGAGGACATTATGTCACAAAAGGACAAATACTGCATAGGGCCACTGTTGTAAAGTGGGACTGACATCGGAGTTGGGGGGAAACTAAGATGGGATAAATAATGTATACCACATTGAAACAGATGAGGGAGGGAATTGTTTAGGAGGAATATATGATTAGGTATTGTCATGACAAGAATCTAGAATGAAAGCTGTGTAGTGGAGTGGACTGGGGGTGGGGGGAATTGTATAACAATGAAATAATTTTATTTTGTTTTATTTATTTATTCATTCATTCATTCAGTTATATTTTTCAAAGAGAAAAGCAAACTGGAGTGGAGTGGTGGGCAAGGAGGAAAGTATGCAAAAATGAATGTAAAATGCAAATTCTATAAACTTTCATTAAAAAAATTTTCTGAAAAAATGAAAAAGAAAAATAATTTAACTGGGGGAGGGAGAAAGATATGTAATAATGAATGAATGAAAATGAAAAAAAAAAGTATACAGAGTCATTGTACCAGAAGGAATTGGCTGATTCAGAAGAATTTCATGAAACAACATATGGACTTTAGTGATGAAGGAAGAAGTTCAAGCTGCTCTGAAAGGATTGGTAAAAAACAAGGCCCCAGGAATTGACATATATCAATTGACATATTTCAACAAATAGATGCTGCCCTGAATGTGCTCAACAAGTTGTCTCAAGAAATCTGGAGGACAACCACCTGGTCAACTGACAGGAAGAGACCCAACAGAGTGTGGAAATTATCAAACAATATCATTACGATTACATGCAAGCAACATTCTGCTGAAAAATAACCCCAAAACAACTAAAACAGCACATCGACAGAGAACTAGCTTCCAGATGTGCAGTCTGAGTTTAGAAGAGTTCATGGTACTAGGATATTATAGCTAATGTTTAGATGAATCTTGGCTGAAAACAAAGGGACCAGAGGAATGTCTATCTGTGTTTCATTGACTATGCAAAGGCATTTGTCTGTGTGGATCACAACAAACTGTAGCTAACTCTTAGAAGAATGGGAACTCCAGGACACTTGTTTTTACTTATGTGAAACCTATACTTGGACCAAGAAGCAGTTGTTAGAACAGAGCAAGGAAACACTGCATGGTTTAAAATCGGGAAGGCTGTAGGCAAGGGATGTGTCCTATTCCCATACCTTTTCAATCTATATGGAGAACATCTTATCAGGGAGGATGAGGAGGAATGTGGCATCAGGATTGGAGGAAGATTCATCAACAACCTGCCTTATGCAGACGACACAACCTTGGTTGCTGAAACTGAGGAGGACCTGAAGCACTTACTGCATAAAGTCAGCGACTGAAGCCATCAATATGGATTGAAGCTCAGAATCAAGAAAACAAAGATTCTCACAACTGGGCTTATTCGTGGCATCATCATAGATGGTGAAGAGATTGAGATTGTTAACAGCTTTGGTTTCCTTGGCACCACAATCAACACTCTTGGTACTAGCATTCAGGAAATCAAAAGATTGCATTTGGAAAATCTACTGTCAGAGACCTCTCCAAAGTACTGAAGAGCAATGATGTCAGTCTGGAGACTAAGGTGTGCCTGATCCAGGCCATGGTCTTTGCAATTACGTGCTATGTATCAGAAAGCTGGACAATGACTAGGATGATAGAAAATTGATGCCTTTGAATTGTGGTGGTGGAGAAGAGTATTGAATATACCATGGACTGCTAAGAGAAGAAACAGGTTTGACCTGGAGAGGGTGAAATCAGGCTGCTCCTTGGAGGCAAGGATTCTGAAGCTTCCATCTGACATGTCATGCTTGGGAGGGTGGAGGGACAGCACAGGAGGGGAAGGCCCTCAGTGACATAGATTGACTCAGTGACTGGGGTAATGGAGGTAGGTGTGTCAGAGACAATAATGTTGACTCAAGGTAGAGCAGGGTTCAGAGCTATTGTACATAAGGTCACTCGGAGTTGCAGGTGACTCAAGGGCACATAACAATAACAATAATAAAAAAAAACTCTTGCAATTCTGCAGGCATGGTGATTGTAGAACAATCAATTGTCTTCTTGAATTGTGTAGGATGGATGATGGAAATGTGTATGGGTTTTCTGTGGCATTGCTTAATTCCGTTTCCATGTCTGTCTTCAAAGGAGAGCTGGGCTAAGCCTGCCTTTTGCAAAGGGCCCTGCCCCTTGGGTATCAGGGAATTTGTATGTCTAGCAGCATGTATTACCAAGATCTACCCAGGGGTCAAAACAGTCTCCCAACATAACTGTTGGAGCCTTGGACAGGAAAGACCTCATTTCCTCATGTTGTTGCCTGTGCTGTTAAGTCAGAACTGTAGACCCTCCAGTGACTTTCCAGAGTATGTAAATTGCACGGGAAATTGCCAATCTCTGTCCTGAAGAGCAGCTGGTGATTTGAAATGTCTGCTGTTGGGTTGGTAGTGCAATTCCTCACCACCAGGCCAAGAGAATGGAATATCTGCACAGACCCTCAAATCCCTCCAAGACCAAAGTCAAAAGCACCAGGAGGGCAGATCCAGCTGTCCAGTTGTCAGGAGGCCCTGCTGTCTGAGATCCATTAAGCCCATTGCATCAGGTCCCACTCACTGAGACCTCATGCTTGATAGAGTAGGACTGGCATTTTCACAAATTGCTATGGAAACAGATGGCCAGGCCTTTACCCTGGGGTGTCTGGGTGAGTCTGAAGCATCAAGCTTTAAGTTAGTTGTTGTTAGGCACTGTCAAGTCAAGATCGACTCATAGTTGACCCTCCAGAGGGCTTCCAGAGGCAGTAAATCACATGGAGGAGATTGCCCATTTTTCTCCTGTGGAGCACCTGGTGGATCCGAACTGCTAAGGAGCTCTGGTGGCTTGCTTAGTGATAAGGAGTTGCTCTGCTAACCTGAAGGTACAAGGTTCAAATCTACCAACTGCTCCATGGGAGAAAGATGGACAATCCCCTCCAGTATAATTAACTGCCTCTGAAAACCTTAACGCAGTAGTACACAACAAGCCACGAGAGCACCCTCTTTAGATTAGTTGTTGTTGTTGTGTGGCAGCGAGTTGCCAGTGACTCATAGTGACCTCATATGTACAGCACCTCTGAAACCTGCCCTGTCCTGAGCGAGTCTCACTGACTCTGACACACCTACCCCCATTGTCTCAGACACCGTGTCAATCCATCTCATTTGGCGTCTTCCTCTCCTGCGCTGTCCCTCCATCCTCCCACGCATGATGTCCTTCTCCAAGGACCCATCCCTTCTGGTCACATGCCCAAAGTATGTGAGATGGAGCTTCAAAATCCTAGCCTTCAAGGAGAAATTTGGTTTCACCCTCTCCAGGACAGACCTTTAGGCTAGTAGTCTCGTTTGTGCCACCCAGCGACCTGTGATGTTGCTGTTGGTTGTCAAGGAGTCACTTCTGGCTCATGGAGACCCCGTGTGTGACAGAGCAGAACTGTTTATAGGATTGTCTGCACTATCAGAAGCACATTGCCAGATATTCCCCGCCTCCCCTTCAGGGATACCATTGAGGGGTTCTATCTGTCACTTTTTGCTTGACAGTCCAGTTCAAACAGTGTTGCCTAGCGACCCCCAGGGCCTTTTACAAAACAATCAAATCTGTTACTGTCCAGTCGATTCTGACTCAGACTGTAAGGCAGAGCAGAACTGCCCGACAGGGTTACCAAGGCTGTCATCTCTGTGGAAGCCACGTGGCCATGGTTTTCTCCTGTGGAGTGTGTGGTGGATTCGAACTACCAACCTTTTGGTTAGCAACCAAGCATGTAAATACTGTGCTGTCAGGACACCTATCCAAGGATCCTGGAAAACCACCTTCTTTCCCTCCTCCCAGGGTTTGTGCCCATCGCTTCCTCCCACCTTGTCTCTCCATGGCCCCCAGCTCAAGTTGGATCTTTTCCCTGTGGGCGTCTAAACAAGCTCCAGCCCACAATGATTTTTCCCTCCTCTGAACTTATGATCAGCATCACTTACTGGGCAATTAATCATGTCCTGTCTTGTGACATCTCTCTTTTGTCTTCCTTTGTTAGTTAATTTTTCATATGTTTGTGTCTTGCCTCCCCAGCCTGCTCACTGAAGACAAGGGGAGGGTCTTCGATTCCCTGGGATGCTCTGGCCTGTCGCCCAGGGTGGTGCCTATTCCAGTAGAAAGCTCAGTAAATATTTATATGCTTGTTAATTGAAAAGTTCTTCCAATGGGTGGGGAGTGGTGGTGGGGGCTGAAACTCGTGGGAGCCGCTAAAGCCTCTGCATGTCGATAGGGAAGGAGCAGGAGTAGTCAGGACGATGGCTGGAGCTGGGGTTGTCCTGGGTCGCTGCTCCTCACGTTTCTCTTTGGTGTTGTTGGCATGGTGAGTTAAATGTGAGTTTACCACAAGAACAGTTCTGCTCTAGTGAGACCAGAGCCAAGACAGTACTGAGCAGAGCTGAGTCACTGTCTTGCTTGGGAAGGCGGACAGCCCAGGTGGCTTCTTACCTGTATTCTCTGGACTTCGCTGTAGGTGAAGATGGGAACAAAGGCTTCTGTCTGGGAGGCCAGCATGGTGACCACATGCACCAGCAGCAGGGCAGCAACAGCCTTTCTGGACACCATCCTGGAGCTGGACAAAGACAAGGGGGATCTGTCACCAAGTGTAGGGTGCGGAGGTGGACAGTAATAGACTGAGGCAGGAGTGCTCAGTTCTGGTCCACACCCCACTTGGAGCTGTGTCATCTCAGGCAAATCACTGAGCCTCTCTGACTTGGGCCTGGCTTTCGCATGTGAGCCCATCACCCTCTTCCCCAAGCCATGAGCATGGACCCTGCCTGGGCTAGGGCAATCCAGCTTTTTGCCATACAATGCAAGAGAATTGTCCCATTTGTCAATTTTCCTCTTTGTTACAGGTAAGATTTTCTGGAGTCACTCATTTTCATGAGGCTGAAAGGAGCTCATCTTTCAAAGAAATAACTTCTAGATTATCAGTAATATCTTGCCCCAAGAACCAGGTTGCCCTTCCAGCTCCCTGCATCAATTAAGATATTGGAAAGGTGTGGGCCTGCAAGGGATCCCAGCTCCCCCTAAGCACCAGGTCAGGACCTTAGGTCTATAGAGGAAAAGGCTAAGACAATCTGCCCATCTAGAGGCAAAGCCAGATGGAAAAATTCAGCTTGGAGTGGCATCTAAGGGCTGAAAGTGAAGGTTCACCCCAAGATGGAGAGGGAGCTGTGCATTGATTCTGGAACAATCCCCTCCCCAGCTCCCACATGTCTAGCTGCCTGCTGGCTGCTATCCAGAAATAACAGGGATGGTGCCTCCTCCTTGCCAGCCGAAGACATCACAGAGTGCTCTTAGTGCTGGCACGGAGCCAGTGTGCACGGGGCTCTCCTGCATCCCGGAAAGTAGATGTTCTCCAAAAGCTGTCAGGGAGGTGGGCTTCGGAGGGCATTCAAGGCTCGGGTTCTCCCAGGGACCCAGTGGGCATAGTGACTGCAGAGGCAACAGGCTTGAGGAAGGGGTCAGCAGGGCGGCTTTGGGCCAGGGTCAGCATGGCCCTTGGGTGACAGCCTGTGTAGGTGCCAGCCCTCACAACAGTGCAGGGCCTTCCATTCCAAAGCCTCTCCCATGCCATCCTCACACCACCTGGGAACAGGAGAGATCTGGAGGAGAGAAAAACTGGGGGAGGGAAGGGACTCGGCCAAGAGATTGGGGGGGCGAGCCCTGGCCTTATGAGGTGTCTTCTGCTTACTCTACTCCATGTTGCATCTGCCCACCTCCCTTCTCGATACAGAGGGCAGTGTGACAGGGCTGCATCTGCCCAATGTGTCCTGGGCACCGACGCTCCTGTACTTTGCAGAGATAACTTCTGAGCATAAGATCCTGGCCCTATGCAGGGAAGAGAGGCTGAGGTGGCAGGTGGTCTGCATGTGGAGCTGCAGTTCATTGCAGGGACTTTATACAAAGGGCCTGGAAGCAGTTGGTGAGGAAGGATCCTGGTCTGGGCTGGCGTCCAACTTCTCTCCAGGTGCAATCCTGACTGACCATCTTCTTTGGAAAGAAGCCTCCAGAAACTTGTGCTTCTGTCCTGCCCTCTGCTGGACCTGCTTCCTCTGTCACCTGAAACCAGCAAGCACTCCCTCTGCTTTCTCGTTGTTCTTCTCCCTCTCTCGTCCATTCCTTCTTCCCCCCCACTCCCCACCCCTTTTTCTCTCTCTTCATCTCAGTAAGCAGAAACACACTAGTTTAGAAATCCAGAGCAGGGCAGGAAGGACCAACTTCTGAGGGAAGACAGCCTCTCCAGAACCCGGAGCCTGTACATTGCCGCAGGATGATCCCGAGTGAACAGCAGATGGGGCGGGAGAGCCTTGAATCTCCGGCCACCCCTCTTGGCTGCTCCCATCCCTCGCTGGCAGTTTCTGTGGCCCAACTTCCCCTCCCCACGAAGGCAGATGTGTCATATTTACGGTGTCGCATTTCCTTCACGGAGACGCTATAGATCCCTTTTCATCCTGGTGTTCACATTTAATTCACTCCATAAGAATCAATAAAAACTTTAAAGAAAAAAAAAAGGACAAAATCCAATTGCTGCTCATTTTCTTGATCCGACTGGCAGTTGGTATGTCACCTACACTCATTTGTGTCTGGTGAGATTGGAGCTGGAGAGCTTTTCATCAATGGAGGAGGCTCTGCCTTCCCAGCTTCCTTCCACCTCACCCCCTCTCCCTCCAGGAAGGGACTCCAGCCTTCAAGGGCTCAGCTCTGAATAGAACGTCGTCCATCTATCCTCCTCCTCCATGTATGTCTCTCAAAACTTAAACTTATTGCTGTTGAGCTGGTTCTGACTTGTAGTGACCCTCTATTGGGTTTTTCTTATTAACCTCTGCAGCCAAGCCATCACCATGGCCAGTGGTCACCTGCATGGATGTTTAAACTCACCCAAGAGCAACACACAAGAGCAGGCCTGGTCTTCTGCTTCTGTACATGTTTGCAGCCCAAAGAAACCCTTATCTCTGTAACATGGAAGCCACCAGCACAAACTGCCAGGACCCCTGGTCAACACAGTTGATTCTGGATTGTGGTAACCGCATGAGTTACTGGAGTAGACTGCTCTGTAGGGCTTGATTGGCTGTCATTTTTAGGGAAACATGTCTCCACGCTTTTCTTTTACTGGGTGAGTTCGAACCATCAACATTTAGGGAATTGTCAAGTGCAAGCTATTTCACCCGGGGACCTCGGTTTTAACTTCATACTCACTCCTTAGTGTGGAGTCAGAACTGACCCATAGCTGACCCTCCGGCAGGTTTTCAGAGGCTATAAATTGCATGGGAGGAGATTGTCCATGTTTCTCCCATGAAGCACTGGTGGATTCGAACTGCCAGCCTTTGAGTTGGCAGTGCAAGAGGCCACCACTCGGCCACCGGAGCTCATTTTAACCTGGTTGGCTGGAATCAGCTTGAGCCTCACAATCTGAGTGCAGACAGGCACTTTTTTTTTAGGTGGCCAGGCATTCAGGAGCAGACTAGCTCATCCCAGAGGAGTCTGGACCACAGGACTCAGGCTTGTACCATTGTTCTGGACTCATGCTATCAATGCCCCCCTCCGACCCCTTTCTTCTTCCACTACTTACAGTGTGAGTGAGGGGATCTGAGAGGTCCTGGAGGATTCTCTCTGTGTCTCTGCTGGTGTCTGGCTAGGCCGATAGGTGCTTATATACCTCCCATCACCACTTTGGAGCCCATTAACCTTTGGCTGCACATTTGCAGGCTCTGGGTGGAGAGTCTGGATTCTTGGAGCTCACGGAAACAACTATGGGCCAAGCTATGAGCTTTGAGGGTTTTCCTGGAAGGCTTCCTTCATGAACAGCACCCAGGGTTCAGTGGAAGCCGGACCTCACCCAAGGGCACCTTCCTGGTCACTTAAAACAGAGCTGCTGTTCAGTGGAGCATCTGAACAAAACCCTTTTCTTTTTTGTTACTTAAATATATGATGTTGTTGAGTGTCTCCAGGCCAACTTTTCAGTGATCAAATTCTCTGTCAGCCTGTCAGAGTACTGTATTAGGAAGATAACTTCTCTTCAGTCTTCCCCCTGAAGCCCCTCACAAAAAAAGACTCAGAATGTGGCAGCACTTCAAGTGATTAATGAAAAGATGACTGGGCCCAGACCCACGATTGTGTGGGGGCTGGAGGGAGCTAAGGAAGCGTGTCAGGAATGGCATTCCACGAGGCCCTAAATGGCTGATGGGACACCTATCCAGGAACCGTTTCATGGTAATTGTGTGATTTAAACAGTACTTTTAAAAGAGTGGAAGAGAGAAGAGGTGGCTGTGACCTGGATTCAGATGGCTGGCTGCTGGCAGAGGTTGTTCAGGGTACATCCATGCCACAGGATGCTTGGTGTGTGGAACAAAACGGAACCTAATGCTGTGGAGTAGAATTCTAACTCATGGTGACCTTACAGGACAGAGGCAAATGGCCTCATGGGGATTCCAAAGCTATAAATCTTTACACAAACAGACTGCCATGGCTTTTCCCCAAGAGGTGACTGACTGGTGGATTTGAATCTCTGACCTGTTGGTTAGCCACTGAAGGCTTAAGAACTGTACCATCAGAGGTCCTTATACTAGGTATATAGGTTCTAATTCAACCTCAGCAACACCACAAGGATGGAACTATCCTTTTCCCCCCACTCCTGTTTTTCAGATAGGAAAACTGAGCTGCAATTTAGTAGCTCACCTATGACTCCACTGGAAGGTTTCTTCCTATGAGGGTCAAGGCTGGATGTGGCCAAGTGAGATGGAGAGAGGCATTGTTACCAGATTTCCAGAGAATGGCACAGAGGAGATGGGATGCCACCAGGGCTGCCTGTATGTGGTGGGAGTGGGCCAGTGAGTTGTTTTTCTAGGGTTGCCGTAAAAAAATATCCCACACTGGGTGGTCTGTAAGAACAGAAATGTGACCCTCCACTGTTCTAGATGCTGAGAGCTGTCAGTGCTGATTTCTCCTGAGGCTCTGTGAGAAGATCTGTTCCATGGCTTCCTCTCAGTGTCTGGTCACCTGTGTGGTAGTGACAGCATCACGCCACATCATTCTTTTCTCTCACTGTCTCCTCTCTTTAATAAGGACACCAATCATACAGGAGTAGGACTTACACTTCTCATCTATAACCTCATGCTAGCCAAAGTGGTAACATTTTCAAAGACTATTTCCAAACAAGGTGACATTCATAGGTGCAGGGATTAGAACTTCAGGGCATCGTTATGTGGACATAACTCACTCTGTGAAAGAGGCAGTGGTAGAATTCATGCCTTCTGTGTGGGAAATCTGAGTAATAATGCCAGTCAATGCACATTGTGCACAGCTGCCATTCATCTGTCAGCAGAGGCAGTGGGTTGACCTAATGCCAAACAGGTTTCAGCAGAACTTTCAGTTTAAGACCGACCAGGAAGAAAGGGCTCATGCTCTAGTTCTGAAAGTCAGTGAAGACCCTGTGGATCACAATAATTCAATACACAGCTGATGACGAGGAAGGCTTGGACTCTCCTCTGTTGTGCATGAGGTTATCATGACTCAGGGGCCAACCCCAAAGCAGCTGACAGCAATAATTCAAACCATAATTG